AGTCTGTGGTTTGCTCTTTTCCACACTCGCACGTCTTGGATTCCACTTTGTAGCCCCATTTCTTAAAGTTGGCTCTACCCGTTGGGTTGCCCTCCCTACATTATCCTTTAAAACCCTCCTGCTTAGATACATCCTACCTCTGTTCACGCCCAGTGTTTATTTTAAAATGTTAATCTATTACATCTGGCCCAACCATAAGGTTTTAATTTTTTTGTGTTACTGCTTATATGTGAGATATATTAATTTTATTGTTTTACTTGCTTACTGCTTTGTTGTTTTACTGATGTGTTGTTGGGCTTGGCCTCATGTAAGCCGCCCCAAGTCCCCTTGGGGAGATGGTGGCGGGGTATAAATAAAGTATTATTATTATTATTATTATTATTATTATTATTATTATTATTATTATTATCATTACTCCCCAGCAGATGTCAGGTGGTGCAATACCGGCTAAACAATATAATTTCTCCAGTGGTGTAGGGCGCAGACACCCTGTGATAATGTGGCATGTCTCATTAAGAGCCACATCCACTGTTTTAGTGTGTTCCCCACTGGGCATGCGTACTCATCAGCAGAGTAGCATAGCACAAGGGCAGATGTCTTCACTGTACCTGGTTGAGATCCCCAGGTTGTGCCAATCAGCTTTTGTATGATATTGTTTCTAGCGCCCACTTTTTGCTTGATATTCAGGCAGTGCTTCTTGTAGGTCAGAGAATGGTCCAGGGTAGCCCCCAGGTATCTGGGTGTGTTACAATGCTCCATTGGGATTGCTTCCCAGGTAATCCTCAGAGCTTGGGATGCTTGTCTGTTCTTAAGATGAAAAGCACATGTATGTTTTTAGATGGATTAGGAATCAGCTGGTTTTCCCTGTAATAGACAGTAAGAGCACCTAGAGCTTTGGGGAGCTTCTGTTCAACCATCTCAAAGATCTCTGCTTGAGCAGTAATGGCACGATCATCAGCACAGATGAAACTCTCTGTCCCTTCTGGCAATGGCTGGTCATTTGTGTAAATGTTGAACATTGATGGAGTGAGCACGCTCCCCTGAGGCAGGCCGTTCTTCTGTTTCTGCCATCTGCTTCTTTGGTCCTGGAGCTCAACAAAAAAGCTCCTGTTTTGTAGCAGATATGAGGCGGGTGAGGTGGTAATCCTTTGTGATATTATACATTTTTCTCAGGAGGAGGCAGTGGTTTACAGTATCATAAGCTGCTTACAGGTCTATGAAGACAGCTCCTGTGATCTGCTGCCTTTCAAAGCCATCTTCTTTGTGCTGAGTCAGGTTCAGCACTTATGATGTGCAGCTTTTGTCTTTCCTGAAGCCAGCTTGCTGTGGAATCAGACATGGGTCTATTTTTTCCATAATTCTATGCAAAATAAGTCTCTCCAGAACTTTGTAAAGATGGCATAACCAGGAAATTGGTCTATATCTTTTTGGATCATTACGGGCTTTGCCTGGTTTCAAGATGGCTATTACTCTTGCTTTCCTCCAGATTTTGGGGATCTGACAGGATGCAGTGCAGTTGTTCATCAGCTCCAGCAACCAGCACCTTGCTTTTGGACCAAAGTTCTTAATTTGTTCCACCTGCAGATCATCCAGGCTAGCTGCTTTGCCATTTTTACATTTATTGATAGCCATGTCCAATTCAGTAAATGCAAAAGGTTCGTGAAGGTTGTTATTCTCAATATCTGGTTGTCTGGCTATTGGTTTCTTTCCTACTTTGGTAGCAAGGTTGGGTTTCCCATTCTTCAAGAACTGGTGTGCTATCTGATCTGCCTTTATGTTGTCATGGGTATTAGTTTGTGAGGGGTCATTGCTCAACCATCTTAGCAGCCTCCATGCCTTTTGGCTGCTCCTGCCCATGTTGACTTCTGTTATCAGCTTTATCCACTGTTCTTTCTTGGCTTCAGAGATGAAAGTTATATGATATACATGCAATAGATAGTATAGTCAGCCTTTGGTTCCTATGTTGTAACTGGAAAAGCACATCAGTATTAACAGTGCAACCATGTTAACATGATTCTCAGTTATTTCAAGGTCATAATCTGTAGGCAATTTTGTTAATATCATTTAACGCCTACTGAATTCTGAGGACAGGTACTGATGTATAAAAAAAAACCCCTACTGACAAGTCTGGGAACAAATACAAGGGTAGATGTACTGTCGGTTCTCTCCTTTTCTTTTTTCAGATGAACATTGCCACATTTAACACAGAACACAGGCTCACATTATTTCCAAAACGGTTGATCTAAGTAACCTGCCTGAACAGGCAGCTCACCCACTTATATATAAATTTCAAAACTGCCAGAAAGTTGCGGAGGTTTAACCATCTCATTTACAAATCTTTGACCATTTCTATTCACACTAAGCAAGTAATGATGGACATTTGCAGAGGTCTGAGATCTAACAGATATTTATGCTGGAGAAAAAAATCGAAACAAATCTATCCTTGTCAGTTTTGCTTTCGCAAATGTAATACAGGTTGAGCATGCCTTATCCAGAATCCCAAAATCTAAATTGATCACATATGTGGTTCATACACAATATGATTGCATTCTGATAATTCAATGTACACACACTTTGTTTCATGCATGAATTTATTTAAATATGTGTATATGAGGCTATGTGTGTATGAAACATAAATGAATTTTATGTTTAGATCTGGGTCCAATTTCCAAGATATTTCCTGATGTGCATATATGCAAATGCAAGTATTTGAAAAGCTGTTTAAAAAATCAAAATCCCAAACACCTCTGGTTTCAAGCATTTCAGATAAGAGATACTCAACCTGTAAGAAGCATGTATTCAGCTCTTTTTAATCAAAGCAGATTAAAACTCTTTCCAGTTATATCCTGAGGAGTGGATAAAGATCCTGAGAGCTGCCCGGCAGGCAGGATCTGTGGCTGAGGGTAGGAATGACTGGGTCACCAGCCACCCAGCACTTCTCCTTCTCCAGGTGCCCAGAGGCTGCAACCACCACCAGCAACAGCCTCTTTACATCCCTGTCCAGCCTCTAGGGTTCTGGGTTCCTCCAGGCCATTTCACACAGGAGGGCTTTATGTATGTGATTCTAATGCTCCCTCGAATCTAATGCACACATCCATTTTTGCAATGTAATTTAGTCCAAAAAGGTGAGAATTAGACTTGAGTAAATCTGGTAATATGGCTATATGTCTGTGCATTCTACCATAATGATTAGCCACTACAGATAGCATTGCTCTCCATGAATACCCCAAATACCCCTTTAAAACTGCCTATGCTGATTACATGAAAATTGTTATAGTCATCAGATAATTTTGGTTGCCATTTGTGCAGTTTTTCGGGCTCAGTTATTGTTGGACCTCTATCACAATCATTGCTTCACTTCCCACAAATCACTGACAGGAAGCTCTATCAGTTTTGCATACTCCTCTGTGATCTTCAAATCCAGCCTTCTGCATTTACACTTTTGCCATTTCTTTTCCTCTAATGATGGCAGAATGTGATTTTCCAGTTGGTTTCTACAGCTGAATGGGAATTTGAACCCTGATCTGCTGTATTCCTAGTCCAGCAGTTAACCCACCATCCAACACTGACTCTCAGGAACCTCGGATTACATGAAAGCTTATGTGAAATTAATTTTATTTACACTGAAATCTTTGGGGCAACTTGCAATTCATAATATATCCCCCAGTTCTAGTAACAGCCTTAAATTTATTCTGGTGATCTTTTTTATTCTTTACAATGGGGAATATATTTTTATTTCCCTTTGCATAAAAAAGAAAAGATGTGATAAGTGTATGGAGTTGGGGCATGGGTGGGTAGAGCTACTATTTGGTGACTGCATTTTATAAAGCTAACTTCCCATCAACTTGTTGGAGATTAAACCAAAGTTATTAAACATCATGTGTAGTTTTGTCCTTAGCAAGAGGAGAAAGTATAAAATACAAAAATAATGTTTTCCTTGTGAGTTAGAAAAACAATAGATGTGAATGGATTGATTGGAACATATATTTCAAGAAATGACAGATTGTATTTGAACATGTTTTGTGATGTTATTTGTTGTGTTCATTTTGGAGCACTTTGGAATTAATCTAGACATCAACTAGATTTATGGATGTCACTGCCAATGCCTTTGAGTCAATGGATGAAAACATTTGTTACAACTGAGATTCATTGTGTTATAGTGGCCCCATCTTAAGTAATGAGGGTTCTTATTTATCCGTTCAGCGATATAGAGCTTTGACTCTTCTTCCTGTCAAGTCGTTGCTAAAGATCGTAATTCAAAATGACTTTACCACTTGCGAGAAAATAAAATGGTATCAGGTGGCATTTTCACATTGTCTAATTTTACAGTTATGTCTGGATTTTATAGTACAGACAGTGTGCCCTTGGCTGCCTACACAAGTTAACATCTTCTTGCTGTCAGAACTGAGCAGTCAGCTCACTGATATTGCCATCCAACAGAAGGCCTTTCTGTAGCAGACCAGGAATACAAGGCAAGCAGCAGGATTAATGCTCACCTAGTTCCAGGTGCTCAGGGAGAGAGGCTGCATCTATCCCTGCTGAAATAATTTAGCACACTGTTTTGCAGAAATGAAATAGACAGAGCATGGGAGTGCCTTGGAGCCCTTTTTAAATCTGGATACCTGGAGGGGCCAGCAGCGTATTGGGGTGCCACTGCTATTTCACTAGCCAAAAGCACCTTCCTGGCAGAGCTATATTTACTGGAAAGCATATGATGAATTGAGAAAGTCTGCTTGTGACCTTTGATATGTTTGAAAATTAAATAACAAAATAAATTAACTACTTCTCAACAGATTTCTCTTGTTGAATATTGATCCCCTGTTTGTAATCTAGACATCAGGTGTTAAGTTATATTCCCTCCCCCTCCCCCCCCCCAGCTTCAAAAGTTATACTTTGGAACCTTATTGCTTCATTTTTCTCTGCTTTTCTGGTGACATTATTCAAAGTTTTCCTGTACTTCTGAAGCTACCATTATTATTATTTTCTTTATTCCAATATAGTCTGCTGGCTCCTGCAGAGGTATTCATATGTTGTGGCACAAAAGAATAAAGCACAGACTACCTGCTGGCACCAATCACTGAATCACAGGGAGATGGTATATAGAGATTACTTGAAGAAGAGCTCTGTTGCCGCTCTCCCTGGCAAACCTTTGTGCTGTAGAGAACACAAAGTTGGCTGGTAAGTGGATCTGTCACAGTTTGAGTAAATAATTAGCTTCTTTTGAATTGTGAGCAAAGCTTCCGATATTTACTGGAAGGCAGATACTCCAGAAAACACCTGAAATTTTGGAATCCCCTGAGTTAGTGAACAAAAACACGGAGTTGCTCAAAGCTGGTTTCCTACAATACAACATTTGAAATACCTGGCATGATGGACAAAATCAGCAGGAATTCACTTGAATCTCACACAATTTTGTCATTGTATTTTAAAATCCTTAATTCATGCTATGAAAGAGTTTCTTAGTTCAGGTTTAGAAAGACAGCATTTCTTTAAAAGGCTAGGATATGTACAGGATGCCCAGATAATGATCCTTCAAACCAGGGGGAAGGCAATGTGTAGTCCGGAGATACATGTAGTCTCCTTGGAGACTAATTTTATAGACCATCAAGCCCCTGATGCCTTCGCAAATGCAAAATGCTTGTCTTAGAGGTCTCCAGAAATGGCAATTCCCCTTTTAAATGGGTCACAAGACAACCCTCCCCCCCCCTTTTTTTTTTTACTTCTTCCCACATCTAGTTTAATTTTATTAAAAGAAATTTGATCATTTTCTCGGTGTATTGTTTTGCTGCTGTAGTGCTAATATATTTTATATCAATTTCTCTACTAGTTAAGCCTACTTCTGTGCTTCTACATGTTTTGGTATGTGCCACATTTTCATTCCCCCCTTTTTCCTGACTTTACTCAAATCAATAAACAATGTTCTGAGACTTAACATTTCTTTGGAGCAGTCTGGAAGTGACTCAAAATGCGAGCTGAGATCCTGCAACATCAGGCATTGCTACAACAACAGAGCTCCATCAAGGCAGTGATTCCTGCTTATATTATGCTCCAAACCTAACTCTTAATGCAGACAGTGCCTCAAACAAATGGTTTCTGAGGCACTGGGAAACAGTGTAAAGTGGTTACAGTGCACAGTGAGATCGGCAGCTGGAGAGATCCTTGGGTTTTATTGCAAATTACTTGTATCAAGACACTCCCTGACTGGGAGAGCACTGTTGTCATTCTTGCCCAAACTATTGATGTGCACATGCTCCACAGAACTTTATTTGCTTCAAGATCCGTGAGAATTTTTTAAAATTAAAGGTGAGACAGGAAATAGTTGCAACTCATGCTAAAACATATTTTTAAAATATCCAAAATAAGAGTAACATCATTTGGATATTTGGAGCCCGGCTTCAGCATATCTGTTAAATCACCAGCAATGATAAGATCTACCAACTGAAAGGTTGCCTGTTTGAAGCCTTGGGTCAGCACCTGACTGTCAGCCTAGCTCACTGTTTACCTAACCAGTTCGAAAACAGCTTGAGCTATAAGTAAAGAAATTAGGTACTGCTTTATGACACCATAAAGAAAAAGATCATAAAATTCCTGGTGACCTAAAGGAAGTCCCGATGGCTCTTTGTCATAGACAATGGAACAACAGCACCCCTCTGTGGCTGGATTCGAGCACAACCTCCAAGGTGCAAAAAAAGCTGGATGTCGACACAATATACCTCCTTTCTGTTCTGTCTGTCTCTGTCCTGACTGTCCAAAATGGCATTAAATGTTTGCTGTGTATGTGTACTGTGATCCACCTGTCCCCTTGGGGAGATAGGGCAAAATATAAATAAAGTATTATTATTATTATTATTATTATTATTATTATTATTATTATATTTTAAAACATCTCCTAAAATTATAATTACACCCTTTGGATACATTTGCCTCATAATGAAAAGTCCTTGGCTTCTTATTATGTGTTATTAGAAAGATGCAAAGGACAGGGATTGTGATAAACAGACATCCTGATAGGTTTAAAAGGTATTGCTTAAAACATTGGTTATATTTGTGAAGAGGAGGGGGAAAATCTAACACTTCACTGATATCCTGCACCCGGGAAGCCTGGAGAGGGTAACCTTCAGAACTGATGTTCCAGAACCATACTTCAAGGGTACCCCAATGTACTATTTTGGAATATCTTGATTTCAAATTACCACATGCCAACAGTAGCATAGCAGAAGTTTAATGGCAGCAGGAGTGGGGTGAGAAATCTGGAATAGATTTCAGAGGAATAGGTTCAACAATTGAAGGCACTGTTATTAAAAAATAGATTTTTTAAGGCAAACTAGCACAGAAATGTGATAGTACTGCACATGAGGTATCTTCAGCTATTTCATAAACAAGCTGCTCTGTGCTTTTCAAAGGGTTTTGCATAGCCAATTCTAAATGTTGACTTTCCTTTTCCTTTTCTCTCCTGACATCTAGATAATTTCAGCCATGCAAATTTATGATTAGGAGAAGCAGTCAAGCTTCATCTTTTATAGCTACAAATCACAGAAGACAAAGCTTCATCATTTCTGAGGCAGTCTACCATTTCAGTTACTGAAAAGATGAAATGTGCTTTAGTTATAAATTGATGTGGCCTTTTCACTCACATAAAAGGTTGACCAGGTACAATAAGGACCTACTGATAGCTCATTAGGCATACTGATGGGAACCTGCGGTGTCTCTAAAAATATAAATGAAACAGTCACTCTTGACTGACTGCTGATATTTAGTCCTCTTTTTGCTGCATGTTTATATCAGAGACATGTTCATTGTGCAAAGAGCGATAACAGTGTTCAAAGACAGTTTAGGTATCAATGAACAGAGAAATCTATCTAATGTTTCACCATGCTTCCATTACCATAGCTAATAGAATGATTTGGTATACCAAGGACTCAAGCCTTCAGTTGTAGTTTACCATTCCCTCTGGAAATGGGACAGACCAAAAATTACACTAACAAAGCCCAGTGATTTGAACACAGAACAGAGGAACAGATAGAGATATAAGTAACACAACTAATTTACAATCAGACCTCTGTTTCTACTGATTCTTCTACCTGTCTCTGTCTCTCTCTGTGCCCTTCCACACAGCCATATAACCCAGAATATCATGGCAGAAAATCCCACAACATCTGCTTTCAAATGGGTTGAGTCCACACTTCCATATAGTCCTTTCAAAGCAGAAAATGTGGGATTTTATTCAGCTGTGTGGAAGGGGCCTCTGTCTTTCTTTCTTTCTTTCTTTCTTTCTTTCTTTCTTTCTTTCTTTCTCTTTCTTTTCTTTCTTCTTTCTAATAAGTCAGTGTTTTTATGTCTCCATCAGGAGAGGTATGAATAATAATAATAATAATAATAATAATAATGACACAAACACAGTATGACAATGCAAAAGAGATATATATGCTGGATTTCATATCACAAAATCACAAGTTGAACACTTCCCAAGTATTTAGGACTGTGTGATATTATTATTATTGTTGTTATTATTATTATTATTATTATTATTATTATTATTATTATTATTATTATTGTGCATGTGTATTTCCCAAGAGGCCCCAACTTTTAGAGAGCACTGTAATTCCCAATCACAACTTATCTGGACCAAACTTGGCACATAGATCCCCTCCCCATGACCACAAAACGTACTGGAGGGGTTAGAGTGGATGGATCCTAGATTCTGGGAGTTATTGTTCACCAGCATCCAGAGATCACTCTGAACACAACCAACAATGAATGTGTCCAAAAGGTGGCACACATACCCTATACATGGCCAACACTGAATATTGGTGGGATTTGGGGAAGGGGGTTGACCTTGAATTCTGGAAACTGTTGTTCACCTGCAGTCAGAGAATGCTGTGAACCCAACCAATGATGGATCTAGACTAAACTTGGCACACATACACAACATGGACAACTTTGAAAACCAGTGGGGATTTGGGGATAATTGACATTTGATTCCAGGAGTTGTAGTTCACCCACATCCAGAGAGCACAATGAACCCAGCTGATGACTAATCTGGACCAAATCTGGCACCCATAATCAACATGGAAAACTTTGAATCCTGGCAGGGTTTGCGAGGAATTGATTTATGATTTTGAGAGTTGTAGTTCACCCACATCCTTGTGCATTTTCTAATGGGAGCATTCATAAAAGACAACAGCAAAGACTGACTTTTTCTAATAAATAGTGTTATAAATGCCCTAACCCAGGCATCGCCAGGTATTTAAGCTAGTATATACTAAAAATCAAAGTTTGTATGTATGTATGTTTGTGGGTGACAGATTTCCAAGATAGCTCCAACTTCCAGAGAGTGCCGTGACTCCTACCTATGATGGATCATAAAATCCAAAAACAAAAACCTTTTCTAATACACAAATTACCAAACATCTAACCCAGGCATTGTCAAGTACCTATGATAGTTCAGAATAAGTTTTTTTTAAAAAAAATATGGAACAGTAGAAGGGCGGGATTCTTCCAAACCAGCCAAGTTCTTTAGAGGAGGGCTAACAAACAGATGTATCGGTAATCTGATATAACAATGGCTAAGTTACCTGCAGCATTTGCCTCTATATTCAGTTCCTGTTATCTGTAATTTCATATGCTTGACAGCTACTGTTCTTCTTCCAAGCAATTCTTTTGTTTGAGAAAATACATACACTGTTTCTGACTCTTAGCTTGACCTTACAACTATGCTACAACCTTTAAAAATGGTATTTCATTTCAGAGTAGTCTAACAAAAGAAGCATTTTCCATCTCCCACATTTCTGTATGAAGCTTGTATGAATGTCGTGTCACAGCTAGTCCCACTATGTAGCTTTCCCTTGTCCTGCTTTTATTTTGGCATATAAATAATCACAGAGAAAGAATCCCTGCAGCTCTGAAGGAAGGAATGGATATGGGATGAATGCAAATTACCCATACTTGCTTACAGCCAGTTTCCATTGGCAAGGGCATGGAGTACAGCTTTCCTTGCATTGTAAAATATTCATGGTTTGATGAATTGTGTCTGGTCTGCTCTGCTCTGAGACAGGGCAGGGAAGCATACAGTCCTCCAGATGTTGTCAGATTGCATGTTCCACCAGCTCCAGCCAGTGTTGAAGTATGATGGATTTTGCAAGAGGGTCATATGAGTCCTACTCTTTCCTCTA